TTTTCCCCATCTCCGCATTTTCCGAGGCCGCCCTTGTATGGCAGCGGCCCTCTTCCTGAAAAATGACTGTACATTTATATATATATATATATATATATATATATATATAAATGTACAGTCATTTTTCAGGAAGAGGGCCGCTGCCATACAAGGGCGGCCTCGGAAAATGCGGAGATGGGGAAAACGGGCGGTGGTGAAGTGGTTCGAATCCGGAACCGAGGGAGTAGNAAGGAAGTAAAAAGAAAGAAAAAAATAACTCTGGGTATGAGCTTATTTGCAGATTGGAGCAAAGAACCAATCAATCATAAGTGACTAGCAATGTCCATAAAATGTTTCACAACAGCATTCGTTAATTATAAAGATTATAACAACCGTGGTCAGATGATCGTATTATGCTTAAAACAGGAATTCCCCATATATCAGGAATGCTTCAACGCCCAGTTTATAGTTTCGTCCGTCGAGGCGAACGAAGAAAAAAACGGAGGTCTTTTCCATCTACCACGCTCGATTATTGCACGAACAGAACTTAAAAGCCGCACAAACTGCCCTTGTTTCCGTGCTCAAGGATCTGGGGGACGGAAAGCAGATGCGTGAGCCGGGGATTAGATTGAATGGAGCAGTAGGTCAAGAACACAAGGACAAACAATGTCCGTTTTTTGTGGCTGTTGGTCGGTATAGCAACATATCGGCTGCGAATAAACGTGTGTGCGTGTGCGCGCGTCAGTGATCCGTTGCTTGTCTGCCTTGGATTCCCTTTTCTGCCCCTAGGTAGGTCATGCCCGTATAGACAAGGGGATCGGAGTTTTCGAGTCTCGGGTATGTCATTATGTGGGTCGTTCGATGGCGATTGTGAGACAGCTCTAAATGACCGTGAGTAGATCTGTGTATGCATGCATGCCTGCATGTATGCTCCCGCTCCTTCCGTGGAAAAGCAAGTCATACACGAGTGATTGTTTCCTGTCTGTCAGAAACAGGTGGATGAGCAAACAAACAAACAGACAACCCGAATTGATCAAAATACATAAGCAGATTGGTCGAACGACTGCTGAACTTACTTGAAACACGGTGATCAATGATTGATAGAAACTGTCAAAATTCGACCGGGGCTTTTCAACATTTTGAAAATTGAACCGACCGCCAAACAACTGCATGCCCAACAAAGCGAATATGACAATGAACAGGAAGAGCAGCACCAACAGACTGACAATGGATTTCAAACTGGCTAAAAGTGATCCAACCAAATTCCTCAGACTGCTCCAATATCTGTAAAGCACAAAAGGTTCATATTGTATGTGTATTTTACACAATTTTGGGAATCTTGTGCATTGTAAGAAGCGCTGCATGTAACGACCAACATCAAAGTATACGAATTCCATGCGACAAGGTAGTTCTAAGGTGCCTGTTAGACCACTCTCCAGTGTATATTTTGTTGTGTATTAGTTACTATGACCAAATGCGTGTTTACTAGTGGGAAGTTGGTGGTTACCGATTGCACAAATTAAATACCTTTTGATTTAAAAGAAGAAGAAGTTATCTAGGAAGAACTGACTCTACTCCCTATCGCATTTCCTTGTTCGACAAGGATAGATGCATGCCAATTAACAGAATCATGGCCAAGAAGAGTGCACCATCCTGTATGTATGCATGCATTAAATTTTGTGAAACGCGTAAAAGATGTCATCACAAACTGAAAGTAACTGACAGAAAATAAAGGCTGTTTGAAATATCCTCTCTATTTTAGAGCATTTCTTGAAAGCTTATTATTTACGAATCGTTAACCAGTTAGCAACAAATGTAAAACAAAACCCCCTCAGTTGCAGTAAAAGTGCATAAAGCCTCAATCACCATGATAACAATAGTAGCACGGAAGTGCCACGTTGATATGAACTTTATTTCGAACTAACCCGGAATTGATGCTGGAGAGGGAAATCACTGTTCGATTTTGTGAACTTTATTCGGTGTCGGGAAAGGTGCGCAACAAATAGTACAATTGAAAATCCAACTGAGGATCTCAGTGATAGAATGTTCGGGCAGCACACTCTGAAAGTGGCTCATCAAACTGATCACCACTACCGATTCCAACCATCAAATTCATGATTAGCTTACCCTATCCCCATCTTAACACCACTCTCAGGTGAAATAAACCGGTCTAATTCCATTCATGAGCATCAATGGTAACATTCCGAATGCAATGAGTACTACTACTACTACTACTACTACCACTACTACTTATTTTTTACATGAGAAAACACTTTTTAAATACGAATACAGTAATGTTTATCATTATCTTTATTAAAACAATCACTTTGTTTCTATTCATTTTTCATTTTCACCTTCATTTTACTACTTTATTGAATACACAGTGATACAATTTTCAGGAAAGGAAAAGCAACCAATCAAAGGGCTGTCATACAACACATATATCGAGGAAAGACAGGCGGTGGTTGTGGGATTCGACCACATGTCCTTCGAGGTGATGACTTGGTGACGTTATCACCGGGTCACCACCATGCCTAACCAACAAACATTCATCACAATCAATAATCCCACTATTTGAGTGAAATAACTGAGGATCGATACTACTTGTAGATCCCTTTCGTCTAGAATTACATCTTTCCCTATTCACAGAAGTCGCATACGCACCTTTCGTACAACATTTCCACCCGTACCAAAGTTATCTGTGAAATGTTTTAGGATCGATAAGTAGAGCGAACTGCCTAATTTGTTAATAATCGCTGATTAAAGATTAAAGAAATTAAAGGGGTTTTTGCGAGATACACGCGTTTCATATACTTTCCTCCATCTCTTGCATATAACATGTCGCTTTATACTTCATGATATGCATAACAGCAAACAATGAAGATGGGCGTAAATTTTAACAAATGGTTCATGTTGGTGAAGAGGTTGGTGTTACGTAATCACAATCTGAAATGGCAGTCGTTTTGTGAAGCAACGGTAAACACAATATACAAACCACCGATATGGGAATAAAAAACTAATTCATAATGTCTCTCTGTCTTGACACTAGCCAAACTAGAACCTCTCACCCCACCCTTCTATAGTCACATGGCCTATTTTTTCAACTTTATGCCCATCTTCATTGTTTTCCCTAATATTAATACTATACATAAATTGATGTTTTACGCAAATGATAGGAGAAAGTACATGGAATGCATGCATATCGTAATATCTGTCTTCTTTCTGTGCTAATGAATCGGACGTTGGTGACACAATGTTACAAATAACTGATTTCCCAACAATGTCCTAGATATGTAACATTTAGTATTTTCTGTAATATATTTAATTTCAGAGAAAGAATAATGGAAAGCCTGTTACACAAACATCTTCATAGTACGCCCCAACGGTGTTGAACAACTGATGTCTCTAATATGGTACTTTTCAGTTTAATGAAGGCTCACGAGATAGAATAACGTTAATTAGACAGAATTAGAAAAGAGAAGCGTGAGAGAATGAGTGAGTCGTTTAAGGAGTAAACTGCACTCCACATCATCAGTTTGTTGATCAGTTGCTGTTTTAGGGTCTATTTATTACACTGTTTAACTCCCACACTCAAACAAACTGCTTATAACAGGTATTTTCTGGTGGGTAAGCCAGGGTCCAGAATAGGACTAGCGACAGGTTCTGTAGTGGTTTAAGTTCATAATCTATTTTTCCATGATTGATGGTAAGTAAGTCAGCACAGAACTGGAAGTTAAAAATGAAGCTATACGGAATAAGTGATTTCCTAGCGAAATTTCCTCCTTATGTGGTGTCAATAAATGTGCTGGAATAGCCACTGAGAGGCATGCTGAATGAATCATAAGGGCAGAAGAAACTAATGACGTCAAATTCAGTTGGGATATTCGAAACATAAATAACGTGCAGATTTTCAATGCAGTGGAAAACAAAAACCAGACTCAGTGCTGAAAATATTGAGATCCCCGGAAAGGGAACGGTTCCATCGGTTTTATACTGCTTTGGATGGCATTTTCAGAGGTATTTTTCTTTGGACTGCATGAGAATCTTACTTTATTCGGGGTGAGTCGCATGCTCAAACACTGTAACTGTAAGTTTAGTTGTTTTCAACTCCCTTTCCAAACATTCTCTGGAAAACTGACAAGAAATATTGAAAGCGAAATAATGCGAATGATGATTTTTATCCTCGCTAATTATAGTTTTTCATCTGTTTCCAGTGATTAGACAAATGTTCACCAAGTTTTCATAGAAGTAGTAAGCATTCAATCCAAGGGTAGTGTATGGTACATTAAAGAGAGTACACTTTGAGTAACGGTGCTGGAATTCGCACAATCGAACTACGACCCGATATGACTGTGATCGATGCAGCGTGTGGCTCCGAGGTATTTTATTTTCATGGATTGATCGCTAACCTAGATACCCCACTCGCAACAAGGCATCCTCAACAAGCGGCTTCATTTTTGACTGCGACTTGCTGTGTTTTTTTCACTCTGGTTGGTATCTTTATATTACAAATATTTTCCAGCGATAAAGACTGATCGGAAATCAGAACTTGCCTTTTCGCACAATCTTCTGATCAATCAGGGAGCTATACACTCGGGAGGAAATATAATCAAGTATTTTTCTTATTGGAGTTTATGAATAGAGCACTCTCACAGAACCTTTCCGGGATTCCAACTCGCGTGGATCACCTGTAGCTTAATTTGGGGCCAAATAGCTCATACAAGGGGTGACCAAGAGTATCAATTTAAGTTTACCCAGTGGCCGCTCTCAATGATGGCTCCCTTAGTGCATTTTGATTGCATGCATTCAGGAGTGTGCCATAAGACTACTTCTGCAGGATTGCCAGTCCAAATCGATATCCTTATCCTGGAAGCCCAATCACCAATGATTGTGTACTAAATGCGAATAACCGAGTAGTCGGAGGGCCCGACGATTGACTTAGAAAAGTCCGTTCTCTAGTCCTGCAACAGATGTATCAGGTAAGGGTTGACCTATTGGAATGAACGCAACAACACTCTATGTCAGACGTTTTACATGCATCTATTTAAAACCAAAAATTTGAATGGAGTTATTTATGCTTCAGATTGGTGCATATTCAGTTAAAAATTGGTTCACTGCTAATTGTAATGAGCAATAATACAACTGATACGAATAATTCACATGAGTTCAAAGCACTTATGTTATTAGGATAAACTTGGCAAAGCACCCTGTAAATATGGGTCGCATTGCTTTCCTTTAACCCTTCATTTATATTCTTCGCAACCTTATCAGAACTGACTACTGACCCCTTCTACGCGGCTCCGACAAATGCAGGTTTCAGAACCGTAACTGATTGAACAGCGCAATTCAAGACGAACTAGGTCGTGGTTACGTGTCACGAATTTTGTTCTGTTTCATCACAACTTTCAATGGTTAGCAGAACAATTTCATTTGAGTACCCCACTTACCATTAGACTTGTGGAACTGACATAGGCTTGAGTATCACTCAATAAAACACTTTCCAACAAAACAATAAACACTTCATCGAATCCAGTTGTTTTTTACATATTCAAAAATTCCATCTTCAGTTTTAATGTCATTGAATAAGCTTTTAGATTCACTTTCCACAAAACAGTGATCCGATATTCAATAAACATGGTGTCTTCAACAGCTTGAAAGTTACTTGCTGTCTCAAAAAACACCCAGCACTCAAATCTTTTGCATCATCCAGGAACGTTTCCGCCGGTTTTATGGGTTTTCTCTATTCATTCATTCATTTATTCATGTTGAACGCGGTCTTACCTGATCGGATCATTATTTATGTACATCTGGGCCGGACTTTGAGAAGCTCGGTGTATTATGTAAAACTGTTTTCTCTGTAATCACACCCGCATTTTATACAACCGAAGTGGCACATTTTCCTGTAACAACGATTCCCATCAGCCCACTAACTTTTTATCGTTGTTGCCAAGTTACCTATGCATTAACTCGTCCACCTTTAGCATATGCTAACACTGTTTGATCTCCTTTACTCGCATCGTTCTATAACAACATATAAACAAAAACCTTACCCAGATAATCAAGAATGCATTTTTTCGCGTTTTAAATCTATGCATCAACGGGATGATCAATCACTCAAGATAAAACCGGTGCAGAGTGTGCAAACCGTTGGCAAAGTACACCTAAATGTGGGCATGTAACTGGGAAAATATTATGCATCGTTCCAAATCCAATCTCGCGTGCGTTCAACTCACCTGGTCACTTTGAATACACGTAACAATCGGGCACAGCGTAGCACAGACACACCCAACGGGGGCATCACTTTGGTTCGAATCAGGACAATCTCAATGATACTGCAGATGACCACGAAAAAGTCGAATCGATTGAACATGAAGTCGAAATAGCAACGAATGCCCAGACTGTACATTTTGATGAGCATCTCAATGGAGAATAGGACAACAAAGACAATATTGGCCAAATCTGAAACAAACGAGTGGAGGGGGAGAAATACACAATGGAATGACGCAGAGATAAATTACGCTCGCGGCAGCGTCGTCTGTTCAATGTGAAAGATGGTGTGTTCCGTCTTCTGAAAAAAGTCATTTGAAAACAATTTACCTCTACCGCAAGTTAACATGTGTCACGTTCATCTTTGTTAGGGGTTAACAGTTTAACATTGACTTCAGGATAATTGTCCAGAGTGAAAAATGCAATGCAGTCGCAAATCGGATTATAATATGTTTGTCTCCATATTAGAATTGCAACTTTTAAAAACCAGGATTAGTTACAATATTTTAGCGGTCCAATATCAAATAATATATGTTCAACATCTTACGGTGTGAGGTGTGGGGACAAAAACAGACAGTTTCCCTTGTGTGTAGAATGTAATTTTTCCTTCGACTACAAACGGTCCCCTTTTTGACCGGGCACTGCTGATCAGCCACACATTGGGGTGCTCTGGAATGTGCTCGGGCAGCTGGCTGATAGTGCAACCAACGCGATGTGTGCTACACTACTGACCAGAGGGAGGAACATAAAATGAGGCCACAAATTCAATTTGTGCTCTTTATCAATAACTCTAGTGGTGCCTACAATATAAACTGTGTGCGTGCATTGATCTCAGCAGAATGTAGAGTTTTCTCACGTAACGCTACAGGTTTGACTGTACAATATCAACTCAAACAATACTTTGAAGTTGCTCATCAATTAATAAAACTTTTCTCTCAGTCATAAACTTTTTGAAATTGCATTATGGTGCTGTAACAACTCGGTTATTTAACAAATAATTTATTACATAGAAATTTAAAAGCGCTCTATAGGTTGGGAGGCCCATAAACTGTGAATGCTTGTCATTTCTCGATAAACGGGGTTAGCTTCGGGGTCCTTCCTTCAAACCGTCAACTAAATCGTAAAATATGCGGAGAGATAGGACGGATCTTAGAGTGAGCTGGACTTTCTGCTATTCCGTCGGAGTAAAAATGTTTTACGTATTCCGAAATTTGCTCCTACTTGTGTCGTGAGAGTAAAACCTTTCGCATCACATTTGCAAAAAATAAAATGACAGTTCTCTTCACTCTAAGGGGCAAAACATGAATACACTATCCACCACATGTATTCACTGTATTTATATCTGTCGTCCGACTAACGCGCTTTCAACGTAATTGAAACGTGCATTCCAAAATGCTAATTCGTCAGTTGTTTAGTCATCGTCTGACGCGGAACAACAAAATTTAGCAAAGTTTAACTGATCTCTGAGAGCCATCAATCACCATGCTGCTCTTCCAAAGCGAATGGCGGAAGGGAATAAATAATGTTCGAAAGCAGCTTCTGGACAAACATCTGAAGCATCTTGTGATCCGGTAGAGCGATTACGAGAAAAAGACATGAGGTATACTACCTCCTCATATCTAACAATGAGCACTGTTGGTTATCACTCATGGTATGTTATCCACGGACTTCTTAAACTGTACTTACTTTGTGGCGGTAGGCTGAAACGGACTATTTCGTACCCAAAGTAGTAAATAACATCTATCGGAAAATATAAGCCCCGAATTCCCTCAGTCACTCAGCTGATCGAAGAGTTCTACACACGATTATATGACAAACCTAACTTACGCGGTCGTGCAGCAGTTCATGAACGAATGGTCTCGTACACTATTATTATAATAAACTTCGTGGAACTGAGAATGGATTCCAGTAGCCACAACGTGGGTGAATGTATTAGAGTTAGACTCATTACATGTGGGTAATGAAGGATTTGGTTAAATTTCAAATGGGAATTCGTCATGTATATAGCAAACGAAGCGTGAACTGAAAAGCTCGAAAGCACTGGACAGCTGTTTCGACCTGGTTGGGTCTCATCGACAGTGCGAATCCATCGACCCGACCGGGGATCGAACCCGGGACTTCATGGGTATTACCCATTACCCACATGAAATAACCAGTCAGGTTGTGAATATTTCGCTGATCAGCTGCCCGGTGGCGTAGTGGGTAGCACACCTGCGTTCTGCCCATGAAGTCTCGGGTTCGATCTCCAGTCGGGTCGATGGATTCGCACTGCTGATGAGACCCAACCAGGTCGAAACAGCTGTCCAGTGCTTTCGAGTTTTTCAGTTCACGCTTCATTTGCTATATACACGACGAATTCCCATTTGAAATTTATTACAGGTAGTGTAGGTTTTAAAATTGACATCTCAGCATCTGATCAGAAACAACTATGATGATGCGCGATAAACGAAACTGAGCAACGGCCATCTCTGGTAGGTAAAACATCTAAATATGGCTCAAGGTGAACATATTTAGGCTGCTGGAGATCAAAAATATAAAAGACGGATCTATTCCATTGAGGTATGACTTTTGTTTCGATTTGGGATAATTTGCATCAACGATCGGGTGCCAGCCAATCAATTTGATCACATTTCATGCAGACAGCAAAATCCAAACTCATTCAATTCATTCTGAATACCGGTAGCGGTTGTTATCCCCTGATCCATATAAATCACTCGTTATACATCCAAAAACAGCGTACTATGTTTAAACTTGAAGCACACAATGTATTAGTTTTCTGAGGACCCCATAAGTTGGTTTCAAAAGCTCCAGACAAAAAGGCAATCGTTCCCTGTGCTGTGCGGTTACTAACTCTTTTGTTAATGCTTTAATCCCTAGACGTTTATAGCACGGTAATCCTTTAGTCGTTCAAATAGTCACTCTGCCAATGACTTTTCCCCTACATTAATTATTCGTATCTCCATTATTTGGGTAACTTTTATTTCATGAGCCCACACAACCGTTGACTATTTAAATAATCTACACAAACCTCTATCATCTTAAGCAAGGGATGATGATGATGATGTGAATTTGTTTTTTGCTGTCAAATAAATCTTCCCTGCGAAATTAGTTGACGGGTTTGATGAGATAAAGTACATTTGTTGTACACTCAGTAAGATGATAAGGAAATTGTTTACAAACATTCAGTTTCAGAATAAAACTCGAATGGCTCCACTGTTTCGTGTTTGAACATGAAACCCATCCAATAATTCACGTGGTTATGCAGAAACCGTATGTGTCATTCAGTTACTTGGAAAAATACTGCATAGACGACAATCTACGGATGGGTATTGATTGCCCTTACATACCTTGGAAATCATCCAGCCATCGGGGCTGCCTGTAGTGCTCCGAAGTGAGAACACCGGTATTTAAAAACACAAGCACAATCACAATCCAATAGAATGTTTGCGACTTGACCAAACGTCGACAGGAGCGTCGACATCGTCGATTCCATCGTCGAGAACGTCGACTAAAATAAACAAAGGAATCCGGATTCAAAAGACGAGGTAATTTTATAGAGAATACGTAAAACAAATGCCACAACGAAGACAAGCAGATCAAAATAGACTTAAAACTATCATCCAGTTAGTTTAACTACTGCGTTGTGAAAGTGAGTGAATTGCGTACAATGATATGAATAAAGTATGTGTCTCAAGGCTAAATGACTACGGGTATAGGTTAGAGCAGTGCTGGTTTTGGCTAAAGGAATGGAGATCAAGGCTAAGGGGTTGTGGGTAGAGGCTAAAGCATTACGGGTTTTGGCTGAAGTTTCATCGTAAAAGGTGT